GACCATCAGGGAATTCCCAACATAAATTCTTAAAACTATAACTTATATATTGCTTGCATAGAAATACAAATCATTCTGAGCTGCAGTTGGCTCCAACTTCTTCAAAAGACAGCCTGAGTTCTGTTTAGCCTCTAGTTCAATGGCCGCCATAGCAAGCCCGGCTACAAAATGAGCTCAAAAGAAGTCCGTGAGTTCACCCTCAAAATCATTCTAAGAAACTTCATAAAACCTAGAAAAACACTGTGCAGAAAGGATACAGAACTATTTCAGGAGGAGGGCTATCTCTGCAGAGGGAAAAGGGGCATGGGCTGCAGCCAGGGGTGAGTTGTTCTCCGTAACATTGAATTTCTTTAAAAATAAAACAATAAATAAATAACCTCTAACAAGATGGCGGCAAAATCTTAAGGTGGTAAATGTGTGTAGTGAGTAGGGGATATCTACTCTACTGTGTTATCTCCTGCTTTTTGAATGCTGGAAATATACCATAAATAACATTTTAAAATGTGAAACAAAAGGACATTTCTCTGCACTTTGGCTGAAGACTATTTTCTAATTATTCACCAGAGAAGCTTTAGGGCATCCTTTGATGAACCCCAAGTAATCAAGTTCTGACCTGGCCCGTCCTCAGCTCAGAGGGAAAGTGATTGTGAATACAGCTGCTGGGGGGGACTCGGAAGATCTCCTCGCTCCAGGTGGATTGGTGCTATCACAGCAAAGGGCGGTGCCGAGGCTGGGGTGGTGGACAGTGTACCCCAGGGGCGTTGATATGACCCGTTCATCCATGCTGTTGCTTCCCCTGCCCCCCATTCCTGTTGTCAGACTTCCACCAGCGTCAGCTTCTTTTCCTTCTCCTAAGGAGGTGTGTTTTAAATGATGTATCCATTCTGCCACCTAGCCTTCAGCCCCATCACTACAACAAAGCTGCCTTAACTAGCTCTTCTGCACAGATCTCAATCTTGCTGAATTTCCCTAATCTTGGGGGGTGGCGGGGGGAACAGGACCTAGGTGACTGGGGGGACTTTATTTCTTAAGGGTCACCGTACCTTAGATTCAGACCAGGATGAAGCAGTAGCATTGAAACGCCCAGTGTGAAAGGGCATTCTCCTTTGGGAAAAGGACCAGTCAATCCCATAGAACCTTTAAAAAGGAATAATAACTCACAGTTTAGGCAAATCCGTCAAGGACAGAGGGGAGAGCAATGACTAGGAGTGAATAAAGACAAAATCCTTAGCTAACATTTTTCTTCTCCAATCAGAGGAATCCATGATATTTTATGTCCCATTAAAAGCCTCGCTTCCCCAAGTCATCAGGCATCACTCTGGGCTCAAAAATCACTTAGAAACTCATGAAAAATGACCATAGGAAAGGACTCAAACTTAATAAAACACAAATGCTATGTGTCCTTGGAAAAGTTGTCCTAAGCACAAATCTTTTACTCGGTTGCATTTCTTAAGATATTTGGTTAATCGTTTAAACGAATGGGAAAGGGTGATCTCTGGGGAACTGAACACAAGCAAATGATATTTAACTACTTACTTTTCCAAGAAAGATGTAGTTGAAAGGCATCAATGCTGCTTGGAAAGCAGTATTGCGAAGCTCCTGACAGAGAAGGAGGAAAGGGACCCCAGCTTCTGACATTTGAATCTGGCAGGCATAAATGTGCCCCCTTCCCCACCACGAAACTAAATTCATTGATGCAAACTTTTTTTTTTCCCACAAGCAATCCTCTAAAGGTGCTTGTGACAGATCTAAGGCTTCAGAACTCAGAGGAGGGGAAAACGGAATCAAGAAAGGCTCCAAGGCATCTCCCGTAAGCCAACATCCTGGAACAGATCTTCCAGTCCACTGTCAGATGTTAATTACCAGCTCTTAGGGGCAAAGCCATCCGGCCAAGAGCCCATCTTTGAGCCAAATTGCCATAGACTAGCCCAGGCTACCAAGAAAATTCTCTCTTAAGCCTTCCCAGGGAGCCTGCCTACCTGAGGGTCCCTTGGATGGCAGCTTCTGTCCCATCAGCCAACTGTCAACCTCTCATGACCTAAGCCCATTTCTCCATGGAGAGACAGTCACAATGTGTACAGCCCTGCAGAGTACCCCCCTCCCTCTCCCTGGCCCCCTGCCGCCCTACCCCACAGACGAGCTCTGGCTTCCTTTCTCTCTACCCTTTTCGTCTTCTCTGTGAATCATCCCCTCTCCCTTTTACCTGTCTTCACACATTTTATTTTCCAGCCACTGGAAGTCGGCTAGACAAAAAGACGTGTCACTGAGGCCGTCTCTCTCAGAATAGAGGGTGGCTGGAACTAGGCAACTCATGTTTCTCTGGAAGCAGCACCACAATCTCCCCATTCATCTGAAATGCTACCAGTGTGCCCAGAGCCGGCTTTGCCGCGGAGTCGGTGCAGAAATAGGAGCAGGGGCTGGGACACACACAACACCCTGTCCGAACCTGACACAAAAGGGAAAATAATACGTGATCTCCCTCACTCCTCAAATATTCCAACCAGAGTTGGGAATATTAATTTTCCTCCTACCTTACCGAACCCCCAGACACAGAGGAGAAGCAATACTAACGAGCCTCGCTTGTTTTTTTTTTTTTTTTTAATCATTACACACAGCTCCTCCTCCCTCTCCCAGCCAACACTTAAAGCCCCTCTGGCAATACGAACAAAAGAAAACTGAAAATTTTTGCCTTGATTTTAAAATGTGCCTTTCGGCAAGTAGGCAAGTGGGAAGAGAGATCAGGATCTGGGGGTGTTAACAGCATAGAGCGAGATGCTTCTGAACGCAACCGGGAAGACAAATATTTTCTACCAGCAGAAGGAATTCTTATCGTAGAGGAGGGTGCAGTCTAGTGGTAAACTTCATGAAATGCAACCCCTTCTCCAAAGGGAAGTTAGAGCCCTTCCAGAGAGACGAAGAGAAATGTAAAAGGGGTGACAGTACTGACCCAAGTTCCCCCAAACGGGACAGCCACAGCTGCTCAGCTCTCGGATGGGGCTCTGAAGGCCACACACCCCCATACCAAGTGCAGGAAAAACTAAAATCCCCACCTTCCTTCTTTGAAGACATTCACTTTCTTTCCTTTCAAGAAGTGTCCCTAGGGTTCCCATAGATCCTCTGAGGTTTCAAAAGGGATCACGGTGTTTCCTGTCGGGATCAGCTGGTCTCATGGTCTGCCAGCAGCTCCAATTCCTGGGCTATGCCTGCTCCCAGGAGGGTCCCTCATAACCTGGGGTCACTCTGGTCTATGCCCTCCAGGGCTGTGGCCCCATAGAAATACTCCTTTCAAAGAACCTGAAGGGACAGGATCACTCCACTCCGCCTTCCTTGCCTCTGACAACCCCACAGCAGGGCAGGACACCGTGGGCCTCCAGGCACAATTTTCAGAACCAGCAGTTCCTCCCAAGTGCCAGTGTCTGTAACTCAGTGCTGCCTATGATGCTGCTGCTATCAACGTCCCTAGGTGCAAGTCCACACACAGCTTCTCTGGGCCAACAGTGTAACTAAAGAAAAATGGCCCCTTCCCCCTGTGACCAAAGGCAGTCACTTCACCAGTAACAGAAACAATAGATGAAATCCCCTTCCCCAGATTTTTAGGGGGGAAATTTAGTTTTTCTTTTCTATTTCCCCTCACCACCCATCGCTGGCCACCTTACACTAACACCCATTCCAACACACACACACTACACACACACACCCTTACTTGGTCACTCAGACACCAGCAGACAGCCATTTCCCACAGCTAAGGTAGCATTTCTTGGGCACTCTATATATCCAGTTGGCTAATAAGAAAATTCTTCTCCCTCCAGCCTGAGCCTTCCTTGGCTAGCTAAGGGGTGGGAGGGACGGAGAGGAGTTGTATCCACCTTATTGTATCCACCGCGCTGCAAGAACTCTCTTCTCCCCCGCGACCCCCACCTCCTCTCCCTCTCTGGGCAGCTCCAGCCCTGTTCCCCGCTCCCCCTCCCCCGTCCCCTCACCACTTTCTCCCATTCTAGGGAGAGGAGGGCGCTGTTCAGGCAGCGAAGGGGAGCCCCCGTGTGTCTAGAAGGCCTCTCCCCACCCCCACCCCGTGTGAGTGTACTCCTTGGCATCCTTGCCTGGGTTGGGTGTTGGGGAGCTCAAATTGCAGCTACAAACTGGCTGGCAGCCAGGGGCCGTCTATTTAAAAGCGCCGGCTCAACCGGAGCCCGTAGTCTCTTTGGAAACTTCTGCCGGGGGAAAAAGAGCTAGGAAAAAGCTGCAAAGCGGTGTGGGTTTTTTTCCTTTTTTTTTTTTCCCTCCTCTTTACTACCCTCTCCTCTGTTTGCACCTTTCTTCGGGCTTCACGCAGAACCTGCGAATTTCGAAAAGGTGCTAGCAGGTTGGGAGAAAAGAGGTGTTAGGAGATTTGGTGTGTTTTCTTTCCTTTTTTTTTTTTTTAATTTCTTGATTTCCACATTTTTTCCCCCACCTTCGCGGCTGCAGCCGCCGCCTCTTACCTGTTCCGCAGCAGCCGCGCGCCGCTGGCAGCTGAGGGTTAGAAAGGAGCAGGGTGTACTTTGAGATTTTAAACAAAAATTTTGAAGACGAAATCTATTTTTCTCCCCCCGCCTCCCCCCCCAACCGCTTCTCCTCCACAACCTCCGAGCTCTTTTTTCCGGTGGTTGTTTGGAGGTGAACCATTTTTGGCTCCCCCGCCCCAATTCTGACCAGGTCAGACTCGTGGGGTGGAGGATTTGTTTCTCCAACCTCCGATTCCTCTGCGTGCACCTGGCGCAGATCCCTTTCCCCCTACCTGTTGCAAGTCTGTAATCTTTGCAATTGAGACTTGCTTGCAGGCACTCCAGCCCTCCATCGCTCCCTACATTTTGCAATTGTCCGGGAGAGGGCACCTGCTCTACCTGCCAGAAATTTTTTTCCAAAAAGAACAACATTGCTCCGCGCACCCTCCTGGCCCCTTTCTCCCGGCACTCTCACGCTCCTGCCCCGCCCCAGGTAAAGGGGGAGACTCGGAGAAGATGGTGCTCACCGCGCTCCTCCTGCTTCTGGCCGCCTGTGCGGGACCGGCCCAGGGTCTGGGCTCCTTCGTGCACTGCGAGCCCTGCGACGAGAAAGCCCTCTCCATGTGCCCCCCCAGCCCCCTGGGCTGCGAGCTGGTCAAGGAGCCGGGCTGCGGCTGCTGCATGACCTGCGCCCTGGCCGAGGGGCAGTCGTGCGGCGTCTACACTGAGCGCTGCGCCCAGGGGCTGCGTTGCCTTCCCCGGCAGGACGAGGAGAAGCCGTTGCACGCCCTGCTGCACGGGCGCGGGGTGTGCCTGAACGAAAAGAGCTACCGCGAGCAAGCCAAGATCGGTGAGCGCGCCCGTGTGCCACGGGCGGCGTGGGGGGTGGGGGCACGGGACAGCCTGGCCCCGCGCGCTCTGCCCAGTAAGTGGCTTAGAGCCGGGCTGCTGGCCGGGAGAAGGGCGGGGAGGGTCCCTGCACTTCGGACTCGGAGCCCCAGCCGATCCTGCTACTCCAGGGGTCGGTCTAGCCGAGCCTCTCCGGGTTTTCGCTCCTTCTCCTCGTCCCTACCCCCACCTTCTTCGCCCCACCCCTCCCCCCTCGACTAAACGGCGACTCTGAGCTCCTATTTCTTCTCTAGATGCAAATCCTCAGGTACTCAATCAGCAGTCCGAAAGTGTGCATCTTACATGATCAACTCCCTCTCCACCACCCCCATGTACCCAATATGTTGTGGGCTTTGTTTTGTTTTTTCCTGAACTTGAAAAAAAAAATCCTTTTGTTAAAATATTGCTTCAACTGGGGACCTGGAGAGAGAGGCGTTACCGGTTTTCGGTGCTAACTCTACCTTTGTCCCTCCCAGCCCCCTACCCCGCTACCAGTCCCTCCCTGACGTTTCCATTCTCCTACCCCGCCCCCCCTACACACGGGTGCACACGCACACTCACGTGCACACACAACACACGCACGCACGGACCCTTGGTAGTTCTTGCCTTTTGGGCGGGGGCTTTGATGCCCCTCCCACGTGCACATTCGTTGCTCTTGACTCGATATGATTGACTGGTCGTCGGTAAAACATACTGAAATGCAAAATACCTCTTTTTCCTCCCAGGAAAGGAAAGGTGACTTTGGGCAAGCTCAGAGGCGGCGGGGAGGTGGAGCAAATCGGGGGCGGGGGGAGTGAAGGAAAGGAATAGGGAGGGTGGGCTTGATGTTCCAGGGCTGGATGTTCCTGAATCGAACTCCTTTCCCCAGCTCCTATTCAGATTTTACCTAGGAAGAAAGATAGATATAGGGATGGGGAACGAGAAGAGATGTGAAATTCAGATACCGCAGCTTCCCCGCCAGTGCTAATCCCCCGCCCTGTCGCGACGCCCCTCGAGCTCTCAAGCCAGATCACAAGTGGGTGTGGTGTAAAGGGGAGAGGGGCCCTGGAAACGCAGAATGCAAAATCAAGAGGGCGGAGACGGAAAAGCCACGCACCAGGCTCCTCCCCTCCACCTCCAAGTAGCCTCGCCCCCGGGTTGCCCCGCCCCCAAATTCTCAGTGCTGGGGTTTAAAAGGTTGACAGAGCTGCCTGCTCAATTGAAACAGTTCGGCTTCCTCTTGGAAAGTTACTTGATCTTAATTTTTTTTTTTAAGTTTAATGAATCATACACAAAAGTCTGGGTTCTGAGCATTGGTCCTCCCCCAAAGGGGTTAATTCTTGGCTAAATTGTGTTTATTCTGTGCGGTATTTTCTTACTGGGACAATGCCTTTCTCTCCTATCTCCGTCCATTACGAGCACCCCAACATGAGTTGTCTTAACTGCAAACTACAGACACTCTCATGTAGGAAAGGAGTGCGTCTGCGGTTGAGAAGAGAGGCACGAGAGCTTTCGTGGGCTCGACCTGGATTCCCGCAAACCCTGCAGGTTTTGTCTGTCCAGCTTTGCAAGAGGTAGCGTTTCTCCAGTTTACGGCCAGCAAAAAAGGGAGAGAGGGCAATGTGCAGGCCCCGGAGGCCCCCGGGGACGGTTGGTGAACTTATTTTTATTAACAGCCAATTTTCAAAGGCGGTCCCGCCCCCGCCCCCCCCCCCCCCCACATCTTGTGAGATGTAGTGTGGAAAAGCTTAGCACCAGCACCTAGGGGGGAAAAGGCATGAATCGATTTCCTGGCTTAGGAGCCAGCGCTCTGGGTAACAATCCGGTCACAGCGAAAGTATGCAAGGTATCGCTTGGCCGCATTCTGGCCCCACTTTTATTTGCCCAGCCGTGTGGTTGGTGTGATGTGGTTGGTGTGGAGGGTGAGCGCGCGCAATTGCTGGGAGAGCAAACTGACGCATCCAACTTTCCAGTTCAATCCCAACCCTTCCCCCCCCCCCCAACACACACACAAGGGCTTTTGTCCCAAGCAAGATGAGATGCCTTTTAGACTTCTCTGTAGCCCCTTCCTCAGCCCCCACCTTCAAAGTGCCTTGAAGCATGGAGCGGCCTCCCTCCCCCTCCCCCCACTCCATCCCAGCCCCTCTGAAAGACTCCGCCTCTCCTAAAGCAGGTGCCTGACCCGCTCCGGTTGCTGGATGGCTGCCCTTGACCGGTAGCTGGAACTGCCGCCTTCCTCCCGGACAGATGGGATGGGAGTGGGCCCTCCAGGCTGGAGCTTTTCAGCTTGGGTGGGTCTCCCAAAAGTTGGAGATGGTGCAGCGACAGTACTTAAAGAGAGGAAAACGAACAGAGAAGAGGGAGGAGAGTGTCGGCTCCTTTAGCCAAAATTGCTGCCCCCCCCCCCGACATTCCACCGCCACGCCTCTCTACCAATATCGAGCAGTGTGAACTGGGATTTGCCCCTTCCGATGTAGATTTAGAGACAGACATATATGATGTATGAATATATACACATTTCACCAAAAATATGTGTATAGAGAGATAGATATAGATTTTTTTCAACAACAAAAAAAGTGCATTTCTAGAATCAGAAATGGGGAGCTAAGGAGAGAGAGATGGCTGGCCGCCAAAGCTTGTGGGAGGAAGAGAGCAGGGCCGGCGGGGACTGGTGTTTTGCTAGGCGCGTTGCTGGGCAACGGGGAGAGGGAGTCCGCCTGCTAGCGGGTCCTGGGAGCGCTCCGGGCCCTGAATTTTATTTCGGCCAGTTCAGGGGCAGAGATAGATATAGCAACAGAGGGCAGTGTGTGTGACGGCTGGAGCTCTTTATTGAACCAAGCTCAATAAATATGGGTGAGCTGGGTCGAGTCCGGGGAAGGACCGAGCTTTGCTCTGGCATTCTTTGTAGAAGGGGCCCTGTGGCTTTGCTGGCCCGCATACTTTACCCGGGTCTGGAAGATCTCTCTTGTGCCTGTGAGACGTTAAGTTTGGGATACAGGGAGAAGTGGGCGCTGGGTTTCAGTTCTGTCATTGAGAAATAAGAGAGAGGGGAAGAGCAGAAAATATGCTTCTTGGAAAGAAAGAAAAATTACCTAAATAAAAATGCATTCATCCTTTGCTTCTTTGAGGGGTTTGGCCTTCCATCACCCTGGCTTCCATTCCCAGACTAGTCCAAATGCCCTGTTGAAGTCAAGTTCCAGGTTTAGGTTTATTGGCCAAATTTGTGTCTGGATTGAACAAGATCATGGAAAACTGAAGGAGCCAGATTCCTTTCCCACCCTTATCCCCTCCCTTTGAAACAAGTCTTTGAGAGGCTGGCTGTGCCCAGAGCCTACCAAAATGGGAACTGGGAAGACAAGAAGAGGGCGCTTTTAACTTGACTTTTCCTGCCTCCCCCCTCCCCTCCCTTCCTCCTCTTTCTGCTATGTCAGCTCAGACTGGAAGAGCAAGCACAGTTGGCCACAGTGAGGCTTCATTTTCTTTCCATTACTCTTCTTCTCCCCCCTACTTTCTTATCCCTCCCTCCCATCCCACCCCCTTCTCCATCCCCCAACTCCAAGACATCCCCAGGGGGCTTGGCTTTTCAATCAGAGCAGCTGTGCTAGTCCTGGGGCTCAGGGTTGGATTTGAGTAGGCAGGTGGGCTTGCAGCTGCAGAGGGAGGACCGGGCTGACCTAGGAGCCAGGGGTCACCAGAAGGTTACAGCAAAGAGCATGGGAGTAGAAATCCCCACAGAAACCTCGGTCCCTTTAAGGCCGGGCGGGGGTGGAGGGGGGTGGGGGGGGCGGAAGCTAGCAGGAAAGGAAGGTGATTTTTGTCTAAAGCTTTTACTTTGTACTTGAGCAATGTATTTAAAACTCTGGGTTATTTAATGTATGGAAAATAAAATTTTGGAGAAGGGACAACCGCACTCCAGGCTCACTGCCTCCAAAAACTGGAAGAACATCGTAAACAGATCAGGTACCTATGAGGTCCCACCGGAAGCAGAAGTGAAAAGGGCAGAGAATGGCTGCCATGACATGAACGCTATCTGGTGGGGTTTTGTTTGCATGTCTGTTTTGCATTTTTACTATGGTGGGTCCAGAAGTTACCATCCCCAGAGACCATCCTTCAATTGTAACCTGAAAAATGTCTTCCAAAACAGTAAGATTTATTACATATCTACAAAAATAAATAAGCAAATAAACAAAAACAGTTCTAAGCTTCCACTCCGCTCTCCCTCTATCCACAGAATTCCCCATTCTTGTTTCCAGCTCCAATTCTTTCCATGATTTCTGTTGTGATGTCTTTTTCTTCTTCTTTAATATAAATTCAAAGAAGTGACTGGGAATCTGTATCAGAGGTGAAGTAGCCTTTCTTGCCTGGCCACTCAGCTTAGCTAGGTTCGAGTGTCTCTCCAGGAATTGCCTGGGTATTGGCCAAAGAATGCTACAGCTGGAAGGAACCTGCCATGATCGCAGCATCTTGGCAGTCAGGCCCTCATTTTACAGATAAGGATGCTGAAGCCCAAAGTACAAGTCACAAGCTTAGAATTAGGTGCAGGGTTAGAGGCAGAGCCAGGGCTAGAACTCAGTCTTAGAATCTTGTTGAGCCTAGTCCTCCTAGTCCTAGTTCTGCCCTCCCTGCCTTTCTTCCTTAAGTCCCTGGGGCTCTGGCCTGGGCCTGGTCTAAACTGCAATGAAGCCTTTGCCAAATATTACCCAATGCTGTCATCTCATAGCAGGAGGGGCAGAAGGGGGATGATGTGAAGATGAAATAAAAGCTCAGAACTTGGAGTGCTCCGTTTGAGGAGAAGCAAAGTGGCCCCAAAGTGGAGAAAGCAGTACCCCTTTATTTTCAATCTTGTTCTGTTCCATCCCTTTTTCTGCATGGTCTTGCAGGCAAGGCTGACTTAGGCGAGTGATTTGGTGAGGGATGGGGGGGCAAGGAGGGTGGAAAGGGGTGTGTTCAGCCCAGACTTCAGGCCCATGTGCCAAACCTCAT